GTAGACGTCCGTCTGGAATACGTATTATCTCGAAATAGTTGAATTTTAACATCTGAGTGTTTCGCACTTTGTATATCTGCAATTAGCGGTTTGAATGAGAACCTTATTATTGGAAATTCACTGTAAACAATTCATAGGATAAGTTTTTGTTCTTTTGAAGGTCAACTGAAAATCTTATAAAAAACAAGTTAGAAAAATCAGTAATACATGGTTCGATGCATCTTCATCTCTTCTTTCCAACAGTGAAAAGCGCAGTTCTCTATCTTGTTTCTATCAAACTTTATTCAAAAAATACTCACGAGCATTCATGCTACCAGCACATAGGCGAACGAAACAGATCTTATCGAAATTTTATTATTATGATACCAGTTGAATAGTGATCAAATAGCATAGAAAAATAGAGCGAAAGACGCTCTATCTGTTCATAAAAAAAGAATTTTTTTTAAAGCTTTCTGTAAGAAAATAAAGTACCTCAGCCACTACTTTTGGACTGCCCTAAGTAATAATAAAATGAATTATTATTGGAATAAAATAGTTATCGATTTGAATAGAAATGTAAAAGAACCAATTTGTAGTTCTTCTTAATAAATGTTTTTTAATAAAGAAAATTAATAAAAACAAAAATATTCATTCATTTATCATTCTGTTAATAATTGTAGAATAACTTTATAAAATTCTATTGTATCTTCCTCATATGAAATTTTCATCGAACTATAAAATTGAAAAATTCATTTTTTTTTCTAAATCATCAAATCTTCTTTTACTTGCAAGAAAATTCAAATATGAAATAACATCAAATTATAAGTAATCAATATGATACTTTTATTATGTTATATAGTAATGAACAATTATCGTGTAATCGGCAGTTTTTTTTTGTTTCTATTTTTTAAATTGATATTCATTATTGAAAAACAAACAACACTATTTTCTTGTACTTTTGATTTTGTTGTATTCAATATATAATATTAAGATTAATAAATAGAACAACTCAATTAATATAGAAATTTTCTTTTTCGTTTTTTCAATAAAATGTAGATTATTTTAATATACATGCTTTTACATAATACTCAATTGACATTTATAGAGATATAAGTGATATTAATTATTGTTAAAAAAAAAACAAAGACTATAGTTTTAATTCGAATTATTCTTTTTTTTTAGTATATTGTAAACTTAAAAATTAAAAACTAAACAAATCTTTCAAAATCTCTTTTAAATATTATATGCTACATGGAACTCAATTTTATGATTCCAAAATACATAATAATTTATTTCGTTTTAAATCAAGGTTTTATAGAAAATTCTCAATATTTGTTTTCTATTGATGCAGTAGTGTAGAAGTCGTTAAGTCTATTCAACTGTTAAACTTTCAGCAGCAGCATTCATATACCCTCCCCCCGCAACCGCACCAACATACTGGCCCCTTCCGATCCCCTCACGCACACCCACACTAACATACCCCATCACTGACATCCCACACCCTCAGTTTAATAGTTGAAGAAGAAGTTGAATAGCCATAAGCGGTCTTCGACTTCTACATGTATGCGCAGTCCAGTTCTACGAGCTGTTTCAGATATTGAGAGGCCTTGATTTCTACATTATTAGATAAAGAATATTTGAATACCAATTCGAAATTTGTTTTCAAACGTCTAGAACCTTATATAAGACCTTTTGTTAATTAGACGCAAAAAACAACGTTCTTATTCACCAAGGACATCATTTCTTGGAAATTTATTCTGCTCATTCATCGAAATGGTTTATTCAAAAACTAAGATGATATTTATAGTTAACGCCGTCAACTCTATATTTTTACATGTGTTCGATTCAAAACCAAGAAAGAAAAAAAGAATTCTACAGAGTGTCTCAAGAGTATGTCGTGAGCGTAAATGCTTAGAACTTCTTTGTCTATCAAAAGTAATCAGCTAATTTTATTTCGCATGGTAGCTGTGAATGCGAAGATTTTATTAACATGGATCAATTGTATTAATAATGTTGCAAGATCTCGCTTTTGACTAAAACAGAGAAAGTCGTTTTTTTTTTGAGTTTCATCAAAAAACCTGAGTATCATTTATTTTTTGATTGCTTCAAATTTTGCAATAGATTAGTGAATATTACTACTTGATCTCTTTTTATGAGGATATCTAAAAAAAATATCCTTAAAACAACTTTGAACAATCGACAAATCAAAATATCTCAAAATTTAAAATGATCAAAAAATAAACAATACACAGTATTTTTGATGAAACTCGAACAAACTATTGTATGCATTTCAGTCAAAGACGATATCTTGCATCATTATTTATAAAGTTGATTCTTATCAATAAAAACTTCGTATTCATGGTTACCATATTACATAAAATTTTAATTGATTAGTTGTGACAAATAAAGAAGTTGTACGAATTTACTTTCAGGGCAAATTTTTGAGGCATCCTCTAGATGTGTGCTGTCGAGGGAGCAAGATGCGAAAAATCTTAATGTCAAACTAAGGTGAATAAATGTGACCCATTGTATATCTTATGGTTGACTTATTATCTTGATGAATTTTTTTTTCGAAAACATTTTGAAGAGCAAAATGTCCTTATTGACGATTGTTCTGTCTGGAAGAAATTTGAAGTCAGCAAACATTGAAGAAAATTTGAAAAATGCTTTGAAAATTAATAAAAAGTTCCATAATTTCCCGAGTTTTTCTTAGTTTAGATAGATATACATATGAACCTAAAATTCAAACCTATTTCACAATAAACAGAACTTTGGCCATCCTAAAATTTTATACTCTGTCTATTCATAATTTAATATATTAATCTTTTTTAAACTTTAATTATATTATTTTGCTAATTTTATTCCAGCATTATGTGAACCATCGAAGTTTATTCTTAAATGACAGCAAGGTTTCAGCACAACAAAAGAAAAAAAGACTTTATTGTTAATAATAACCGTAGCTACTACGGTTAGGGGCGACATAGTTATTTGTAGCATAAATCTGACCACCCGAACCATATACCATTGAAGGGTAACCAAATACTGCAGGATAACCTGGAACAACATCTCGTCGACGACCAAGAATACCGTCACCATTAATATCGACACCCAGTCTTCGTTCCCACATAGCTGAAGCACCTAAAACAAAAACAAAAAGACCAAATTAGTAAAGAACAACTATAGAAATATTTATTTTATATATCTATCTACCTGCTCCACCAATGTACCCATCACCATTTAAATCCATACCAAGACGGCGTTCAAGAGTATTAACAATGTAAGCTATTCAGAGAAGAAAAAGATTTCATTTTGTTTTTGGAACAACTCACCAAAAATATATATTTAATAATAACTTACTATTCATTTTTCGTCGCTTGTTTATTGACGTTGCAAAATTATTCGTTTATGATATGTGAATGTGATACTCCCTTTTTATAGTTATTTTTTTTTTTATTAATAAGTCATGAAAATACAATATAATTTTATATGCGTAATTAATTTTACGTTCTTACAGACATTACCATACTCAATAAAAATAATGAATAATTTATTTTCCTACGTAATGAGGAAGTGGAAGAAAAAACCCAAGTGTAACATTAATGTTGTTGTCAATTTGAGAGTATGAGTCGAGGGTTTCTAACAATCATTAATTGTAATGGACACTCATGAAGCGAAAAAAATTTTTTTTTTCTATGTTCTAGGAATCTTTTATCTAGACTCTATCGCGAGAATATTTTGGCTATGTTCGATCTATTTGTGTTACGAGATGACTTTAATAATCAGTATAACGTTATTATGTTACAGTCAAAATGAAGATTAAGAGAATAACAAAAAGTTGGAAAAATAAATGTACGATCATTTTGTAATTTTTCATAAACATGATTGTTATTGATTTATCTATATGTAGGAAAGTTGACAATCGAGAATATTTTTGATTTATGATCCAACAGTTAAACTCATCACCGATTGATTTCCTTTGAAACAATTCTCTTTTCTGTATATATTATCTGATGATTCGATCCACCGTGTTGATCATTTCTTATTGATTGTTTAGAAGAAAAGAAATTCTATTGAGAACTGTGTGCAGTCAGTTGTTCAGATCCTGTTAATTAGAAGAATCTTTCTCTTAATTAAACTTCTATTAAATTCTAGAATATTTTCTCAAAAATGAATTAAGGAAACTTTTTGATATATCATAAAATAAACTTGAAATTACATTCAAAGGTCTTGCTCTAAAATTAAATTACTAAAGATTATTCTTACATACACAGTTCTTAAATTTTTATCTTTACTTATTTGAACAGTCTGAGACAATGTTGATTATTTTTTTCTGTTTAATTTATAGTATTTCATACAATGATTATATGTTTAGTTGTTGATTGAAGGACTGAAAATATCATCTTTTTTGCTTTAGATCATTTTCATAGCAGGATAAAAAGATAACAAACAAGAATATTGGTACATTCCGATGCATTTTTTATTTTAATTATCTCATCTTTCTCTAATATGTTGCTTTTATTAATTTGTATGATTTATATATAAAAGCAACAATAAACTAATTATACATAAATCGGAGTATAGTTTATTCAGACAGAGAAGTATTGAAGATCAACGATGTTATTCATTATATACATCTCTCTTTCATCAAGATAGGAATAGTTTTAATTTATGTAAAAGTTTATTATAATCCTCACGGCTCAAAATTAATTTCAAGCATTCGAAATTAGTGTCAATGAATGTGAATCAATAAACTTCACTATACAGAAATTTTTCATGCATCATACTGCCGCATATATATACAGATCAAACTATGACTTAATAAACACATCTTAAACATCTTTCTCTTATTTTTGAAGTTTTTTTTATTCTTAAAAAAATTTCTTTTTTTTTAGTCGTAGACATTTTAGTAATCACTTGAATCTTTTCCTTTTGATTAATTCATCATACAGCTCTAAAGTATTCACATATAAATCGAACCATTCAAATTACAAATACGCTTAAATTTTTTTGAAGATTGAGAATGAAAAGAAAATTTGATAAAAAAATGCATACTACGTACAATATCAATCAACTACCACTTCGAGCAATGATCTCTATGTTTGTAGATGTTCTATTTTACTTTGATAGTAATTTACATATGTTTCCTCTTTATATTATTCTATGATGTACAAGAATTTCATCTAGAGAATAGTTTTTAATCAGACGCTTGAGAAATAAATGGTATCAATTTTGACAAAAATTATTCATTTATATAGGACTGTTTTGTGATATCAACCGAAAACTCATTAAAAGATATCGATAATATAAGTGTTTTTATAGACTTGTGTTTCTACCAACTGAAAACCATCTTCCCTAATGTATCTGTGTCGACTTTTGAATAGTACAAATGATGATGATTGGTTTTGATATGCATCACTTGTTTTTGTGTTTTTTTTTGACATAGCATAATAAACAAATTGGAAGTTTCCAACTATACGAGTAAATACAAATCATGTATGATACTGCACGTGCATTTTCTCATGTGTTGACCTTCAACGACGTAAAAATCCAAAACATTTCATTAGATTTTATCTCAAAAAACATGAAAAAGAAAATGAAACAGCCATTAATTACACGGTATTGTAATTAGGTTGATGAAAATTTTCGTTTTAATAAGTGAAATCAAAACACATAAAAATAAATGTCCATTCATCCGAAAAATTGTCATTTTTTTGCATGTTACTGGAGTCTTTGGACAAGCTCAATACTAAATAAGAAAATATTATATAAAACTAATGTAAACACAAAAAATTCACAATAAATCATCATGGGCTACCCCTGATTCGTCCCCACCCTCGTCCCCCGTTTACTCGTCTTTCCTTAATTGTTTCCGATTTCATCCCCTGCTTATTTTTACTCTCGTGAAAACCTTCCGAATTCGTCCCCCCTATTTTTTTTACCGGATTCGTCCCCACTCTAGATTCATCCCCTGATTAAATTAACGCCTCATTTTTAAAGAAATATATTACCTAGTATAGTTTTATTAAGAAAGAAAGACATATTTTATCATAACATCACGAAATAAATATCAACTTTTTTTTTTCACCGGCATAAGAAAATACAAAAAATTATACAAATAGAAGAGATGAAAAAATCAAAATAGAAGCCATTATTTAACATAAGTAGCCTTAACAGCTAAACCACATTTAATGGTTAAATCCATCTGACTTATTTCTCCATCAGAGAACTGTTTCAATAAATCTTGTAGAAGAAGATCAACATCATCATATCGTTTTCTTCTCTTGCTGTTTTTTTCATTTTATTCAGTGCTTCATTCATAACCATTTTACTCGGTGCAGATAAGCAAGATGAAATATGTTCACTTGGTTCACGAGCAATCACAGTATTATCATGACCCATGTGATGAAAACCGGAAGAAAATCGGCGGTTTACCGCGGTTTTACCGGTCCGGTTACCGGCTCCTATTACCGCAATTTACATGGTATACCGCGGTTTACCGCTAAAAATGATTCGGTATTTGCGATATGGGTACTTTTGTGATGGGGACCAATTCGGAATCGAAATTTTGGGAACGATTCGGAATAGTAAAAAAAGGGGACGAATCCGGGGTAAGCCATCATCATTGACTAACATTGTATCAACAATTTATTCACAAAAATCAACAATTCTTTTTTGAGCAGTTTATATTATCAATATGTTTGAAGATAGGCTTGACATCGATTCAGATAGTAATTGATACATTAGTAAGGAATACACACGCTTATACATATAGTAAATAGTTTTGTAATACTTCTTTCCTAAGTTATTATCTATTTTTCATAGACTACTAGAACATGTTCCGAAAGAACAACGTGTATGAACGTTTACACGTGTATCTTCTTGTTTCATCAACAAAACTTTTTCTGAACAATTTTAGGATTTTATTAATGGAAAATTTGCCGTAGAGAGAAAGAAATAAAAAAAACAGTGCTGACACCTTCCAACATTTTTCACACAGACGTTATAACAGTAGTAGAAAAACCAGAAGGATATCGGTATGGAGCCTTTCCTATTGTCACACAAACCCGTATTGGAGTGATCGTACAGATGACTTAATGCAAATACTGCTACTATCAATCCAGACTTATACGTAATGATTAATGAATTCAACAAAGATTTATGCGTTCAAGATAGTTACGATGAAACAACTTTACAATAATATGAACAAGCTTTAATAAAATTAAAAAAATTGTTTTTCAAAACCAACGAATTATTGATTAATGAAACAATATGAAAAAGTTGTTTATCATTATATGAATATTTTAATAATATTAGTAAAAACATTATATTAGTATTTTGTTGACACTACCTTATGCACTATTGTATTAGGATCTCATTTCTATTATTACAATAATTTCCTCTAATGCAAAGTTGTAGTTGTTTTTCGTTTCATAAAATACTGCTGAATAAAAACTATCGATAAGAAAACTGAATTAAACAGTTTGAACAGATTCATCTCTATCATTTCGTTTCGTTTTTCATGCTCCTTTATTGCGCACATCTGTTGTTTGTTAATTATTTTTAATTGACCGTTTAATGTTGATGATATCGTTGGTCGTTAGTTAAACGTTATTTCTAATTATTTTTCTATGTTTGAATACCCAAAAACAGAATATAGATATGGCATATATGTTTATCTTACGACGAAGTTTGGTGGTCTCAGTGTTTTTTTCTTAATTCAAAACATACTGAGATATTTTCTGTATTGAAAAAACTCTAAAATAAAAATTGAAAATGATTACAAATCTAAATAAAACCATGTCAGATTAATTGACAGTTGTTTTCATTTCGAAATCATTATTTAATGACTTTGACAATTGTTAATTATTACCATTATTTATTTGAGAACTATTGCATACGATGAAACTCTTGTTGTTGTAAACAGCGACAATCATGATTCCTTCTTTTCTTTTTTATATTCATCATAGCTTCATATACAGTACAGACTTGTCTTGACGTCTTTTGAAAATAGAAACGGCTGTATCATATAGTATCGTTATTTCTAAAGTTTCTACTATTGTATATATTATTTATTACCAAGAAATTCACTCAAAAAATTCAAGTATTACAAATATACAAGAAAATACGTTAAAATTCATTGAAACAATTCTTCCGATATTGTCGAAAGTATAATCAAATACAAGAAATTTTTTCGAAATCACTATAAATTTCTAACTTATATACATGTCTACCGGTAATATGGAAATAAAAACAAAAAACCCTAAACGCTTCTGTTATTGTTCAGTAGAAACACACTAAAATAATATATGACAAGTTGTTTTTGACAAAATGTATTTGTTTATTGGCAAGAATTACAACAGCACA